ACAACAACAGAAATAATGAAAATTGTTTGTTTCTTGTTAAATTATGCAACGTACACAAACAGGTTGGGGACAAAATGAGTGGAGTTTATTTTAAAAACAACATTGTCACAGATTCTTTACTTTAAACTAACAGCTATCCGTAACATATTAAAAACATCACCACATCTAATATTTAGAGGCAAAGAACTAGAGGAGCCTCAATTTCTTAGAGGATCAAAAACAGAGTCTAGGATACTGGTGGGACAAGGCATATCCAGTCTAAATTATCCACTGTAGTTTACCTAAAACAGCAGGTAAAATATTAATTTCATTGTTTTCATGGCAGCAACTTTCTGGATGGTGTGTTATTCACAGTGGCAGTTCTCTGTATGCGAGTATAAAGATCATTAAAATAACCAATATGCCTACGAGCCTAAGTGAAGTTTCAGTGATGGCATTTATGATCAATTAAACTGACTGTAAATTTATATCACCTTCTAAAATAACACTGAGGTTTCCTACATGCCAAACTGAGACATTTTATAAGGTCCCAGTTTGGCAAAACAAGACTTTCCTTAGTTTTGGGGGTGAGGAAGAAAGATTTCAGTCTTATCTTCATCTAGCTTTTAGAAGGTTCTTGCTCATCCATTCTTTAGTGGCTGACACAAAGTCAATTTACATGATAGCATCACACAGCTGCTGCAGATTGGTCAGCTGCACATGATCTGAGTCTCCTGTTCCACCATTTCCCAGCACTGTTGGGTTGACATCCTGATGACTGTGAAGGCCATTTGAGTACACTGAACTCATATTCGAGAAACCAGTTTTGAGATTATATTAACTTTGCAATATGACATGCTATTCAGCGTGAAGCAGACAGCAAAAGTTACATTCTAAAGGGGATGGGCATGGTCAGCTCAATAGTGAGTTAGGCTGTGCCATTTAAAGGATGCTCGTCCATCTTGCCTCAGGGACTTATACAGCTTGACCGCTGTTAATGTTTAATGTTTCAGATGAATGCCTGACTCTGATATACAAGATTTAAACTAGTCTAGAATTCCTCCAGAAAGCCCAACTCTTTATTTCAGAAGATTAAGTAAAGGATCTCCTTGTTAAATGTGGCTGTCATAGAGAACTAGTTCATATATTTCAGTTATCAGTATTTAATTTGAGTTAATTTAAACTTAAGTGAGCATTGTTGCTGTACTGCTGTAGCTCTCAGACCAGATATTACAATTGACAAACAGAAACATCCAGACAAATGTCTAAACATCTAAAGTGTCCTCCAGTCTTCGGAGGGTTAGAGATGATTCCAGATTTATAATGGTTGTATGCAGCCTACATTAAAAGTGCCTTATGTGAAAAAAGGCAAGGAGGCAGAGCACATGTCTATAAACCCCAAATACAGCATAAGCCCATGATACAGTAAGTATTACTATTTTTTCCCCCATCTCCAATTTGCCAGTAAAAGTGATGCTACGGAGGTAGCAAAGAGAACAGCATTACTACACTAACCTTAAATTGCATTACAAGATTACACATCTTATCCTCAAGGACACAGAATAATAAGATGCTTTGCTTGGTCTAAATTAACCGCGGGTGTTCTAATTAAATAATAGCCTATATCTGTAGTAATTTGATTTGATGCTTGACTGGAAGAGCAATGAAGAAAATATACAACGGGCAAAGCAGTATAAAAGTTTCCTGGGGTGGACCCCCTAATCATTACTTTAACTATAATTTCCACTGTTGGTGACTGTAATTGATTGCCCTCATTAGTTCCCTAAGTATCTTTCAGCAGCTTGTCCTGAACAAATTGTAACATTAATAAAAACTAAGATTCAAATCAATACATTGATGCCTTCTCTTTGATGTTTCACTCCATCTTTGCTTGCTAATTCTGCCTGTCACTATCGTATGTCTTTCTCACACTGTGCTCCTGAAGTGATGACAGTAAACAGTGTGGAAGGAAATTTAAAAGACACGAATTCGAAGCAGAGACGAAGCAGTAAAAGAGCAACAGAACAGAGCTGGTGCCTACCTGAGATAGCGCAGTGGTTCTATGGTCTCAGCCTCTGCCTCAGCTGAGCTATGGTTCATCTTGTCCATCTGTTTTCACCCAGCAGGACTCGGCAAATATGAGAAGGGATGAGCTGTGCCGCTCCAAAGAAAACACTTGCGTACCTTCTATCTGACTCAGATTCAGTGGACACACTGACTACTTCTTTGCCTGGGAATAGACTGAGAATCGAAAGGGGCTTCCTCCCTCTGTATCTTTCTCTACGGCTCTTGATTGGTTCAGGCGCTGGATGGTAATTACTGGCTGCTAGATACACTCACACACACACACACACACACACACACATACTGAATCTTGTCTCTGTCTCTCTCTCCTTCCCACTGTGGCCCCGACTTGTTCTCTGATAAAACCAGCCGGCTGTGTGTATCAGCTGCGCTTGCCGGGAAACCCAGCCAATTAAGAATCAGGAGGCACGGTGCTCCTTGGCTGATTGGCTCGGGCTGCCACGATCATAGCTTTTCAGTCATCGACGGTGCAACAGCCTCCCTCACTTCCCCTAAATTCACAAAAGCACAAAGACGTCCATGCATACTCCCTGGTTGCCAAAGGATCCCTTGATGGAGAATCGAGAGCAAGCACCAGAGTGAGGAAACACTCGACTGCTCCGTGAATCACAAACACTACCATCTCTCACGTGGTGGTGAGAGATAAATTAAATCTATTACCTTAACACTTTAATGCCAACGTGGCTACACAGCAGTATTTTTGCAGCTCCGTCATTAATCATAGGTGATATTATCAGAGTGATAGTTAGGACCTAATAAATGCTGCCTCTTGATATCAATCTGAAGCATCTGATAAAATGTAAACCTGTTGAAAATGCAAACCTATTAATTTACACAGAGCTGCGCATGCACACAGAGAAGGGATATGTATAGCAGTATCACAAGGAGAACCTGTGGTTGCCAAGGAATGAGGCTCATGAGTGGGTTGTGGTAATAAACAATAGCCCACTTTCTTTTTTTTAAAGGTCTCTCTCCCTTTTTCACCCTTCACTTTGCCCGGACTTTCTGACTCCTTACAGTTCAGTTAACAGACTGACGCCTGTATTTCTTTTCCATTACAGAATTATTCTCCTGCATTTTTTTTCAAGCTGCATAAATGTACCTATTAGGAAGATAACGACAAATTCCAAGGAGGAAAACAAAGGGAAAACCTGGGCGTAAGGAATGTTGGTAAACTCTGTCCCCTAGTGGTCTTAATTAATATAGCAATAACAGCCCAATAGCAGCAAAAAAAGGGGCAATAACCTTTGAAAGCCTGAACCATGAAAAAATTACCAAAAAACTCAAATTCTTTAAGAAATTGGTATTTACTGATCCATCTGACAATATTTTTAGTAAATTAAATATTCATTTGAACACATGTGTTTCAATTTGCATTATATTTCCTGGCATTTTGAGGGCAGTAACAATATTGCTGTGGCATACTGCAAATTTTCTTATTGATCCAATACCAAGTATATACAGTACAGGGCCAGCTTACTTCATTCGGTCTGCCCACCAGCAGCAAAAAAAAAAAAAAAAAGAGACCAGACAGGTTAACATCGGTGTTATCTGTCAGGAAAAGTTCACTAATTTTTGACTGGAATTTTACATCGACTTCAAAAGGAATTTGACCTTTTTAACTTTGTGCATTTAAAAGGTTTTTGCAATGTGTAATGTATTCTAAAAGAACAGCCTAAAAAAAAGAAAAAGTGTAAGGGCAATGCACAGATACAGATACCTGGTAGTGGTAAACAAGCAAGGAGCCAAAAAAAAAGGGGGGGTCAATTTCTACGACTCCAGCCTTAAACTCCAGCCAATAGGCACCAAAAGGTTTCCAAATTTTCAACGTGGCCACACCCTTTTTCTAGAATCTAAATGGATGAGTGGATATGTCATTCAGGGAGGAAACTATACCAGGGTTTTGTGCTGCTTAAAATCAACAGTTTAGCTTGGGTGTATAGGGATTGTTCTAAAGTCGCCCTCAAGTGGCCACTAGCAGAACAGCAATTGTTGACTGTAAGCTGTCAAACCGAAGGAAGAGGTCACTTAGTTATATTTATCTTTGAGTTTTCATACACACACACACACACACACACAGTGTCTATGTTAATGTGTGCTTTTTAGCTTCATTGATTATCGTTTATATGCAGTGAGTTCTAGAAGTTGATTTACACCACAAATAAACAGGTCAACCAGCCATGAAAGAGGGATTAAAATTAGTTTTATTATTTGATAGAGCAGGAGAAAAAAAAAAAAAATCAAAAAAAACAAAAAAAACCCAAAAAACATTTTCACACTGTTTTCTTTTTCATTTGGGCAGCACTTCATTTAACAGCGCGTCGACCCCAAATAAACGGAATGGTGATGTTGTCAAACAGCAGCAGCAGGCGGCAGTAGTCAGGACAGCGCAGGGTTACTTTTAGCAGGGCACGAAGTGATGGGCTTATTTCGATTGCTTTTCTTTCACATCCACAAGACGTGGACCGCTATCTTCTGCCTGTCAGGAATGTGCAGATAACCTGGAATATTTCTGATGCTACTTTGAGACAGAAATACAAGATCTTGAGCAAATCAAGTTAGAAACTATATTCCTGTACTTCTATCAGCAGTGTACTGGTGCACCATCCTAAATGAAACCCAGGTGTACAGTGATAACACAGCGCAAAGGATGTTCATTTACCTAATGCTGGCAGCACATACCAGCAGGGCACCTGACAAAAACTTCTGAGCTGAAGAGTATATGGACATGAATAAAGGACTCACATCCTTATGCCATTTAAAAAAAAACAAAAAAAAACACAACAACAACACAAAAAACAAAAAAAACATTACATCTGTATTGATGAAATCCAGAGTGAAGCAACAGGCCTGTAAGACTGGGAGTTCTGATCAATGAAGACATAACTGGATCATTTCTACGTGAAAATTGTAAAATAAAAGATAAAGGAAGCTGGAAAAAAAAAAATCACTGCTGGGGTGTTCAGCTTGTCAGATGGCTATACCACTTCTCATTAAACAAACCTCTGTGATTAAACTTAAGACAACATTTTTACATTTTAATTTAGAGACATTTTTCAAAAAGCGCCTGTAAAATCATTGCTAAGTGGAGAAACCTGGACCACCCCAGGGGTTGAAATGAAAGGGGGGCGGGGGGGACAACACATGGTAGTAAAATAACAGAAGTCCACATGCAATGGAAAATTCCCATTTTACATGTAGACATATTGTACTTCACTAGCTTATCCTGTGCTGCTGCAACCTGATAGAAATGCACTATAGCTCATGTGAAAGGCAGAGTTAGCTCAATTCAATGACCTGACAGAAATCACACACACTTTAATGTTAAAGACTAGAAGTTCATGTCATTTGTTGCTATAGGGGTTTTTGCATAACTACATTCTGAATGCTGTCCAGCTTCTCTTGGACCAATCATAGGGTATGTGGGAGCCACTTGACAAACAAGAGAAAACAAATTCTAAGTGAAGATCCTTGCAAACTTAGGGCATACGCATGTGTCTTTACTAACCCTATAAATAAATTCAGATAGTTTGTCTATAGAAGGGGGGGGATGCACCACAACCTATGACTAAAAGCAAAAATAATGTCAAAAATATGACATTCCTTACACCCCCTCAGTTTAGCATGAATTCATGTTTATATTCAGAGAGGGTTCAAATAAACTAGAAACCTTCTAGCAGAAGGGATTCCATTTGGGCTCCACTAGTTCTTTGGAAGGTTTATTTTACAATATTCATTAAGAATATGCCCCATGTTTTTCTTTTTTTAACGAGTCAGTGAAACCTTAATTTTTATTCTTTCTCTTGATCTTAGAAAAAACAAAGCATTTAAAAGTAGGCTGCAACATGGAACCCAGCAGATGTAAAACCACCTCAACAGTAACATTAGCCTTTAAATTCAGACCTCGACATGAGGCCACTTCCAAAGTATCAGGGAGCACAATATTCCAAACACAGTATATGACTTACAGAAGAAAAGACAAAATCCTAACATTCAGCCATACAAAATAATCCAACACACATCAACTTCTCTATTATACACGCTGTAGGTTTGAGAGAAGAGGCAGTCTGTGTGTAGATAGATTTTTTTTCCTCCAGTTTTCTTTTTTTCTTTTTTTTTTACTTTATTCATTTTTGCAAAGCTGAAGCAGTTCTTATTTTGTGGATGGTCCTCAAAGCTCAACAATTCCTGTAATGAGGTCTTCAGTTACGTTCAGTTTGGCAACCACAGCCTCAGTCTGACTGGTTCAGACTAGACAAGGGCAGGAAGTAAGACGAATCTCTTACGGTGGGTAATAGTATTTATTACTTTTCCTTGCCTAATCCAGAGGCAGAGGAGCTCAGGGATTCTCCGGAAACTTCCTCTTGGTGCAACTGGAAGGTTCAACCAATATACAGGGAAGGGGAGAGGCAACATCACTGAAGAAGTCTGTAAAATTGTACACACGTCATCCATATCCCTCTGAAAGGGTACCCATTTTATATTTAACATATTCCTTGTATCTTGAAGCCGTCACAGCACAACTCCAATGGGGGAAGGATTCAGAAAAGGAAGAAGGTAGCAGAAGTATATGGTGAAAGGTGTAAGGACACCTCTATCCAACAAGAAGAGGCCAATTCTGCACCGTTTTGGCCAGAGGCCGAATCCATAGAAAGAATTAGAACAATAATGTGAATGGCTGTTATTGATGTTAAGGGAGCTAAATGTTATGGTGTCAAAGGGAGTGGGATTGCATTATTTCCATGCGTTTGCTGCTTGGGAGATGGAGCGGGAGGGAATCATGTCCAGAAGATATTCTCGCTGACGCTCAACTGAAGCAGAGGTCTTATGAGCAGACAAGCTGGGGTTCACGTAGGCCATGGTCACACCTGTCAAGGTACAAATACATAAGCAAACACCTGAAAAGCACTACAATGAAATACGGAAATGAAAAGGTGATGCCAGAAGGAATGGCACTGAAGAACAAAAAGTAACAGTACAACTCAACCTTACAACAGAGCGATTACTCCAAAGATGAGTAGAATGTAAGAACATTTGAAGTGCATTCTCTACATAATTGTCTCCGGTTTATATACCTGCATTGCCACCGGTCTGCTTCCTCCAGGCAGCCACGTTGCTCTGGTTACCACTGCCACCAGCACCAACCTTTGCCCCCTGCTGCAACGAGCGAGCTGCAGCATGCTTACCGGACCTACTACCCAGTGCTGCTGCTGTCACAGCATTCTGCAGCTGTGAGGAGGAGAAAGAGTGGGCCACACCACGAGCGTTAATTGCAGACTGGAGGTGTGACAGATGACCCTGTACAGACACACAAAGATCAGAGTTTTGGTGCAGCTGCACTACATTACATTAAACCAACATTGTGGCTGTGGAAAAACATTTAAACCACAAGCCTGGTCGTTCAACAATACAGTCAAATGCTTACCTGCTTAATGCTGGAGTGGTGAGTAGACACAGGTATGTGCTGCATGGCAGCCCTGACCTGCTTATAGTGGTGGGAGACCAGCACCTCATTTTTGGACAGTGAGGAGGACAAGGTGGATTTAGAGATTGAGGAAGCAGAGGAGGAAGAAGAGGAGGCTGCCTGCTGGAGGATACGCTGTTCAATTTCTTGCTCCTGTTGGAGTGCTTTGACAAAGGCTGCCTTCAATCGACTGGTGTGCTCGGCCTTTAGGGCCTTTTTCTGATTGGACGACATGCATTGGTCACAGAGGATGGTCCCAGCCTTCTCCTTTCTCCAGCGAGAGGTAAAGTCAGTCTTACACTGGGCACAGGTGTATGGCTCTTTGGGAACGGAGCTGGCCATTGCTGCAGCTGGGCCAAGATTACCTACATTATGGATAACAGACCCATGGTAAACGCAGAGGTTCTTTGGACAAGGTTTCATACTATAACATTCTGCAGGTAGATCTACTGCTGTTCTGTAACATCTCCAAACTAGTGCAAACATGTACCCACCTCTGCCATGCATCTCCAGAAGTTTTTGCACCACTTCCTCTAAGCCCAACAAATAAATGAATTCATTATTGGCTGCAGAAGGCAGGAAGTTGAAATCAGGGGCAGGAGGTTTTGGTGGAGGGATCTCGAGCAGCGTCTTCTCCAATTGCTTACGTAGTGCAAGTTTAGCAGCTGCCTGCCGGCTGGCTGGAGAGTCATTGACACTAGAGTTGGGTGAGACTGAAGAGCCCTTTAGGCTGGTTGGAGAGGCCTAGACACCAAAAAGAAGAAGAAGAAAAAAAAATCCTGTTACAAATGACTATGAAGACACCATTTTCATAGTTAGCAGACCTATGCTAAATGCACCTTACCTGAGGGATGTTGACCATGACATTACTGTTGGCCACATTAGCCACCCGAATGAGTCCCTGCTGAATGATCCTCTGGCCCTGGACCTGGACATTGGGCACAGAAGCCCTCGGAGCCAGCAAGAGTGGAGGGGGCCCTGAGCCGCTATGCTGCTGCTGTTGCTGACGTAGACTGGCTATCTGCTGGGGAGTCACTGCAATAGGCTGATAGCCACCAATGGACACACAAAAACAGACATTAGAGAGGACAACTATCCACAAAATCATGGAGAGATGCGAGAAGGAAAAAGAAAATATATATATATCAACCAAGAACCTTAAAGTTAGTTAACAGAAGAATAAATTAAAAAAAATTAAGGTTCTATATACTTCCAAAACACTAACCTGGGCTCCTCTGACCAGGGGGGGCATGACACTCTGAGAGTTGTGTTTGGACGGGATGTGTTGGCCACCCCGCACCAAGGGAGGGGGAATCACTGTGCCTGAGCTGCGACCCGTCACCTGTAAAGTAAAAACAAATTGATCAAAACTGAATGGCCTTCCTCCACACAAGTAGTAAACTGTCTGCCGTGTGTGTTATATGTCTTATCACTGCTATAATATTCTGTAGTTTTACATGCAATTACACAATAGCAAGACAAAGTTTGTCAACTAACAACTCTGGTCTGATCGTCTATATTACAATAACAGCCAAATACAATGTGAATAAACAAACAGCACATGAACTGTTGTACAGAGTAGGTGAACTCTTAAATTTAGTAATTCAAAGAGCTAGATTATGCCGCACCATAACTTGTGTGCTTTCTTGTCTTGATATGTCATCCAACCTCTCCAAACCACTCATCTGCCCAAAGAACGCAGTCCCAAGAGTGTTTTATAATGAACTTAAAACATGTCTCAGCAGTTACGTTCTTTCATATTTGCATGCTGTGGTCTTGGTGGAATAATAGCACAATGACTACCAAGACCTGAACTTTCAACAACTGTAGAAAGTTTGTCTCATTGTGAATAGATGGATGCCCATGTCGTGAAAAAACATTTTGAGCCTCAGATTCATGTATCTCACCAACTGGCTGGACTGTAAGTCAATACTCAGTGAGTTTGATGACAATGAAAAGAGAACTTGCTTGCAATTCCTTTTTATTCAAACTGTGTTTGTCAAACTGTGACTTAGTTAATGACAAGACCACATAATTAGAGCAGTCAATGCAGAATTTCCGGTTTTTCCAAGTGGTTCACAAACAACTAGTGCAACTGTAGACTCTGCAATACAAGTTCGGACGAATAAGTGAGTAGCTACCTGAAGGGATCCTTTGCTTGATGTAATACTACCTCTCACCAATGGGGGAGGAGTAGCCACAGAGCCAGTAGCCTGAACATTAAGGAAACAGCATTACAAAACATAATATTTTAGTACAAACATTACATCATATGTAAAACAGACATTTATAGCCCTTCTTCGCGAGTACCTAACTCAGGTCACCTTGGCATGGCTCAGCTTTTAGGGTTTTCCATTAGGTTGTAGTACCTGGTACTCTTTTAGTACCTACTCAGGCAGGGTTCCAAGTGATCGAAGGCCATCCGAAAATGTGATGTCAACAGACTGCATGCCATCGATTGGCTAGTCAGTGGTGTCAGGCAATTACTGATGAATGTGTCTCCCTTCACAAAAATCAAAACCACCCTTTTCTAAACCTGGTATCGAGGTAAATGGCAACAAAAAAAAAAAAAAAAAAAAAAAAAAAAGTGTGGTCCCCAACAAAAAGCCATTCACTGAGCAGCCATATACCAGCCTCGATGTCCTTTTTTGTGGAGGACCTCACAGGACTTTCAGCCGCACTGTTATAACAACCCTATGCTCATTAGGTGGTAGATCATTGTAAAAGAAAATGACCGAAACACAGTCGTGTAGGTACTAGTGGAAAAGGGCTATCAGAAGAATGGGACTTGTCTGATAAGAATTACTTGTACCTACTGGCTCATACAAAAATAACACAGATAAAACTACAAAAAAAATGTTAAAGGTCTGGTTACCTTCTGTACTGTGCTCTCCTTTTGGATCTGGCTCTGTCGTAGTTTCTTCAGCAACACTAGTTTGGCCTCTTGGAGTCTTAGTTCCTCCTTGAGCTGTTTGATGATGCGCTCCCTTTCCTCAGGTGAACTCTTCTATAAAATGCCATAGAAGATAATAATAATGAGAAATCAATTATAAGGCTGGGACTTTCCACAACAGATTAATTGGGCCAACTCAACACATTAGATGACTGAAATAAAAGCACATAGAATGCGTCAACAAAAATTGCTGCATCTGTTTAAGTGATACATTTTTCTATCGTTTTTCGGACAAAGTTGGAAAATGGAGTTTCAAATCAGTAAACAGAAAGGAATAGTTACCGATGTATAAATTATTTTTTCCTACCATAAGTTTATCTGTGTCAGTCTTTGAGAAGCAGTGGCCATTCATGAGGGGACTAGATGGCTCATTGTCCGATAACACAATCACATCATCTGGCGAGGGCGGCTGTCGCTCTTTCTTAATGTCACTGAGGAGAGAAATATTGAAAGATCATTTAATAAGAGACCGCTTTGTATTATACTTTGATACACTTTAGTGTTAAAAAAAACAAAAACAAAACTGTAGTTACAATGTAGTTTTGTCTTTCACCCAGTAGATGGTAGTATTCAATTATAAGTTTACCTTCCTTGTTGCAGTGTGAATGTGTGCTAGGACACACAAGAAGGAAAGAAGCAAGAGATCAATAATGGAGTAATGGCGGCAGGGGAAGAAAGCAACAACCCATTATCTCTGAAGAAAGGTAAAATCGACAGTCCTGAACGCTCCCGTCCAACAGCAAGATTGCACCCAAACAACACAAAGGCCAAATTAAATGCACTTATTTTTTTTGTTTTTAAATTGAAGAAAAGGCTGAAGACTTTTGATGAGATGTTAAGTAGCTTTTCCTGAGCACCAGGGAGAACAAAGGCGACTAGCGGAAAGCTTCATTTGCATGAGTCTGCAGAAGGGTGGAGATAAGAAGTTGGGGGTTGTTGTAATTTAACAGCTCATGGACCATGGCAGAAGAATAAATCTGCCTCTGTCACGGTGGGGAGCCTGTCAGGTACTAAAAGACTCAGTGGTAAGGAGAACTAAGGGAGGGTGGGCTGTGATATGACACTATGTGAGGGGTAGTGGTTAGTGCCATACTGTGGAGTTATGCATGTACACATGCAGTGTAGTTATGTAATTGTTCAATTGCTGTCAAGCTGGAGGCTTCAGGGCTTCAAGCGCAGACCCAGTTTGCCACTCAGACAAGGCCTCACCCCTCCCCTACCTCTGTGGCGAGGCCTGTGGCCTAGCCAGATCGGCACAGCCTGGGCCTCAGCTCTCCCCTCCCTCCCAGCTGCCGACATCAGAGTCACAAGCTGAGCAGAGCGGCGGTCTGCTGGAGACACTGGAGAGGGTGACAGTGAGGGGGAGGGGAATATACATGGCCAGGAGCCAACCTATTGTGTACACTCTCTCTTACTCTGTTACTTCTTCACACACCCCTCCCCCATCCTTACTTACTTCTTCATCTTTTATACTCCAACTCACTGACTCAGACCTTCACATTTTTCTCTTCCTTTTGTTCACTTCTGTCTCCAGACACGTTTCTGTGCCATCTACTCCTCCTTCACGGCAGCTGCCCTGACAACAACCCTCAGCAGATATTGCACGCTCAGTTCAATAAGGCAAGCAATAACCATGTTGTTTATGGGACAATCATTTCCTTAGACTAAGCAATCACAACACAAATCCCAACAAACACTTGGTGTCATAAAAAAAAAAAAAAAAAAAAAAAAAAAAGGGGGGGGGGAAAGAAAATTCAGCTACTGCCAAGAACACGAACCCTCCTAAAAGAGTACTTTCCTGACAGGATTCATTAAAATCTGGTTTGAAAAAACAACAAAAAAAAACATGAGATAACCTGCAAGTTTTAGAAAATGCTATTCCAAGAAAGATTACCCTCCCTAAGCACAGCCAAGGTTTTTCTCCCCATAGGTTTACTTGTCTTTTTATACAACATGTTTAAAAACAGCACAACACATAACTAGGCACTAGAGGAGAGGTGGGAGCTTCATCCTCTCAAACAAAAGCTTAATGGCAACCCAGCTCCTTGACTGACTTAGTCGCTCTGCCAAATGACACAGAGCACCAACCACTGCAAGCTAGTAACTATTGAGAACAGCTTACACAAGCGTCACAACACACACCAACTTGGTTATGTAATGTCCAGGGTTTCTGCAATGCTCGGCTTCCCCAATCGTAGATTCACACTGAACCTACTGTAGGACTGCTGAATCAGTCATGAGGTGCAGTGGAATTCTCATTCAGAACGCAATGCAATACTGCCAAGTGCCATTTCAGACTACGCACGACTCTCGTAAGGTAACAAAATTCCATGGCTAATTACAATAGGAAATAGAACAACGTGCGCAAATATTGGCATATAGTTATAATGTACACGAAGCATTAACATGCATGCAAACTACTTGAGTAATGCCTTACCTTAGGGCAGAGGTCGACAACCTGCCCTTGCAAGGCATGGGTTAGAATTAGAGTTAACTGTGAAAATTTATATGCATTAATTTATCCTCTCCCAATTACTGCCATCCACCCATCACTCACATGTGCTGCTCTTTTTTTTTTTCTCCGATTGTTTGGTAGGAGATGCTAAAATGTCTCTTTTGATGTCGAAGGCTGCCGATGCCTGCTTTAGGGACAAACTTGTGAAACTGCAAAGTTGAACACACCAAGCAAAAACTTGGTCGAAAGGTCTGCAAAAGCTATAAGGCTATAAAGTAAAGTTATAAAAATTCTGGTTACTGTCGAAGCCTGCTTCTGTATTAAAAAAATACTAAAAAATGAAACAAAACAAAAAAAAAACCCAACCAAGACTAGTTGGTATGGTATGAAAATGACAAAAAAAAAAAAATATATAAAAGCACCCTAAAGATGTGGATGTTCATCAATGCCCCCCCCCCCCCCCCATTGGGGGGGAACACAAAACCCAAGCTTCCGCCCAAAACAGAAGTCTCTATGAGCTGCTAAAATTTGGCTTCACATGTCCTTGCTAAGTAAAACACTGAATAAGAATTGTGTTAATGGAAGGACGGCGCAAAGGAAGTCTATGCTCTCCAAAAATACTACATTGTTATACGTCTCAAGTTAACTTCAAAAGGCAATGATGTGACTGGATCAACAAGGGCATGGCACACCAAAACCAGTAACTTGTTCTGACTATTAAAAATGTGAAAGGATCAAAGGTTGAGGCTGAACTGCTACTTCTGGGCCTGGATGCCCTTCAGTTCTTTAGGGAACAATGAATTCAACTGAATCAAGAAAGTTTAGCATATTTCAGGGGAGCATTTAATGATGTGAAGCTTAAGAAAGGAGCTGGATGATGGTCATGATAAGAAAACCAGTGTTTTTGAACTGTCCAAGTTAAGAGTTCCAACACCGACCTAAAGACTACACTAGGTTGTGGATGTGGTCAGCTGAATGCCCTGAACAAGTGGTGCTGAAGGAGCTTGAAAAACGCATGTGTAGCCAGTTCATTATAGTGTATCATGTGAATGAGTCTGCAAAATCCCCCCCCCCCCCGAAGAAACAAAAACAAACCAAAAACAAATATTGGACAGCACAGACATCCAACTGGGGCCTTGCAGTCCCTCTCAGTTTATCTAATTTATGCTGCTCAAACCCCAGCAAGTAATCACACACTTGCAAATGTGGAAACTGTAACACTGTCTTAACTGAGATGTTGCACTATGGCATAAAAATGGGTTGTTGATACATTTGACATTTGTTTATGAACTGAAAGTGTGTTTTGTAGTAGCAGGAACAATACAAAGTTCTCATTGTTGTGTAAGACTCCTGAGCATCTACTGATAACATCTCAGAAGCTAGGGCTGCTCAATTATGGCAAAAATGATATTCACGATTATTTTCACTGAAATTGAGATCTCGATTATTTGACGATATTTATTTAACAATAACAATGTATTGAATAATGACTTTAAAGATTGTCAAAAAACAATATAAAATAGTGTGCAAATACTGATAACAGTGCAAATGTTTGCAATATAAAAAATAAATGAAAAATGTAAACAACTATGTTTAGTGAACTTTGCCGTGTTGCTCTGTGGTGCAGCTACAACACTGTAGCAAAGTTTACACACTATGTCTACTTGATCCATGTCTGACTCCGCGAACCCATAATGTTTCCACACCACTGAAGTTTTTTTTACCTCTCTTTTCAACCAATGGCAGTCACTTTCCTCTCCAAATAACTTCTGCTTAGCTTTCCGAGCTTCCCTCGGGTCCTCTTAATCAGCGGTCCCCAACCCCCGGGTGAGTCGTTTGGTACCGGGCCACGAGAGTTGAGGCTCAGGTGTGAAATGTATAGTTTTCAGGGTTTTTAATCGGTTTTCAGTGTTATTTTGTTATCGTTTACTCTGTTTTCCTTGGTCTTTTCACGTGTGTTATGAATAAATCTTCTTTTTTTCGGTACCGATACTAGTTTTATTTTGTTGTATTTATCCGCAACACCTTAAAAGCCGGTCCATGAAAATATTGTCGGGCATAAACCGGTCCGTGGCGCAAAAAAGGTTGGGGACCACTGCTCTTAATTGTTGTGACACGTGTTCGAAATGCAGAAAGGTGTGCTCGATTTGCCACACGGAGCAGCGCGAGAGTAAAGCACGAGGGAGGGGCTAATAATTGGCTCAGTCATTTTTAATGATCGTTGAAAGCCCAGATCGTAATCGTGATTAAAATTCGATTAATTGAGCAGCCCTATCAGAAGCTCACTAAATTTAAGAGCTCCCTTGATTTTTCCAGCCTGCACTGTGAATGATGACTCAGTGTTTTCAATAAAGATTATTTTTTTCAAAGTCTAGTCAAGTTTTGTTTCTCAATAGTTGTGACGCAGATGAGGATCAGACCATATTTTATGAGTAATCGATTCAGAAATCCTGGTCATTTCAAAGGGTTCATAACTTATTTTTTCTTCCAACTGAATACGTGCACACTTCCAAGATGTCCAGCTCAGTTCAGTTACTATATTTTTCTCTGGCGAAGAAAGATGTGGTTTGCATTCCATTTCAGTAATAGTTTTACAAAGCTTGCCAAGACACACCAAGTCCTCTATATAGTACAACAATAAAATCATCATTATGCGGCGAGTATGCACACAAACGCATGCTGAGAGTTAAACGGGGGCCAAAGGTGACGCCTGTGTGTCGTTATGATGCACCACAGACAGAGCCAACAAACTTTCAGCATAATCACAACCCTGTTCCACTTTAACTGCCATCAGATCAGTGTGTGTATTTATCGCTCTACCAAACACGCATCACATGACATCAGGCATTTCTCTGAGTAGTCATGTGACACACCCACTACCCCTCCTGGCCCCTCCTTCCTCCAACTGCTCCTTCCAACGTGGAAACCATGGCAACGGCCAGTTAGAACCAGTTTGTGACACATAGCCTTCATTTTGTGTGAAGTGTGAGGCAGAGTTCAGGTGCTGCTGTGGGAGAAAATGGAGCCCAGGCCTCAGGAGCCTCAAAGTTTTGAAAATGGGGGCAGGCTGCCGACAACCACACAGCGACTTCCTGTATGACTCCTGTCAGACCACTTGCTGGTGCAAAGAAACGAGAAACTCCAATCGACACGTCTCAGCACAAAACCTTGCGTTGTGCATGAAGGCATGAACTTCAGGGCCTACAATACATAAATAACTCTTGAGAAGTTTTCAAACAATCTTGCACACAAAAATGTGGATGAGTACTCCAACTCAACTGTCCTTTTAACCCATTTGATGATTGAGTAATAGTTAAACATAATCAAATGGAAACAGAAAGAATTTTGCATTTTGATGATTAGGGTCTATTTTATGAAAGTGCAAATACGTGAAAATTGTTTTCTTTGGAGACAGCTGGCTGACTATGCAAAACTCAAGACCCAGTGTACACGCAAGTCATAAACACTTACCGATACCAGTGGGCGATAATCATTGAGTCAAATCAGTTTTGCGCTGACTAAAATGTTCAGCATTAACGTAATAAAGTTAAAAAACATTAAAATTTAACTGTCATTACAGATTAGTTCATTTTCAGTTTAGAAAGACGAATATAAATCACACCTGTTATGAGTTAAATTGAAGCTAAACATCTGTATTGCTCCATTTTAAATACTTCACTTTTTAAAATCACAAACTAATGTCTGCAACAGCACAATGTGAACTAAACAGGAGTACATTCCCTGTAGCCAACAAACTCTGAGCCCCTACATTAGCACTGTTAATATTACTTCTTTTCTGAGCTTTTTACTTTTCTCACCTTTTGGATGTGCTCATGTCAACAGGCTCATCTCCAGTTTGCACCTCCACCTTAATGGTCGCTTTCACTTCACCAGCCTTCAGGATGCTAGCTGCTACCTTAGCAGCCTGCTCACTCTTGAGCTTGACACTCTCGGTTCCAGATCCCACAAGGGCCAGAGGGGTCCCAGCTGCATCACTCTTCTCCAGTTTAACACGTTTACTGTCCATGTCCCCCAGGGACCCAGCAAGAGCTGCATGGTCCCTCTCTAGAGCCCGCTTCTGGCTGCGTGTTTGACGCACTGCGTCCTCTGACATGGCTGCTCTCACCCTGGAGAGAAAGACAAAGGAAAATGTTACAAAATAAAGTAAACTATATTTAAGGAAAAAAAAAAAAGATTTGGTTGTGGAAAAAAATGTTGTCATCAAACAGATTAAGGTGCACTCTTACTATAAGGCTAAGGTTCACAGAGTTGGGGGCAAGCCTCAGCAGACTGGTGAGGAATATTAAGCAAATCTAAGCTGAATAATTGTGGGTTTTTAAACAAAATTATTTCGCCATTGAAACAAACAAATTTGCCAATGCTACTGTGCACAGTTGACTTAAATCCAACATGATCTTGCCCCAATGCTGAATGGGGCCTGGATGTTTTTTTCCCTCATGCAAGAAAATGTTTGAGAACGACTAAACGTCATCTGTGGAGGTTCTCAGTCATCTAAGTCATAGTAGTTTAAAGTGCTTCAGTTGAGGGCAGCTGTGAGGAAAGCTTTAAGAAGCTGAAAGCTTTAAGAAGAAATATGTCAATATAAGTTGTAGAAGTATGCTATAAAAGAATACACCTTTTAAATGGATTTTTTAGTCTATAAAATGTACAGTTTAAAATGATAACAATGTAATAGTAATATCTAATACAGGCATCTCCTTTCCTACTGCCAGTGACCCAGATGCTGACCTTAATCTCATTCAGTACAGTTGCAGCAGACGATAAGAGACCCACTTAGGTTTCTGAGAAAAAGCCATTACACAGCAGAAAAATAATACCAACACTGTGCAACGCTGACACCAACCACACCAATGTAGGCCACATATTCATTAAGCACTTTGTGCTTATAAACATTTTCTCTCATGTATCCAAAGTTTCAAATATGACAGACTGAACTGTCCTCAGACCAAAATCATGAAAAAATTGACCTGTCATTGCAAAATGATATTATTCCAACAACTACTGAAAAAGCAGTACTTAAAATTAAATATCTTTTGATTTGTCCCAGTGAACACCCATGGTCATCCGCTGTCACTGTATGTTACACAATCAGAGCATACGTCACCTACATTCCATTGTTTAGTCTGGATCTAAATGCTCTCTTATCAAACTAGGGCTAATGGGATCTGTGGTTATTTTAGAACTGGTACTCAATCCCTTTTAACGTTCAGAACTATTTATACTAGTTCTACATTTTTAAGGTATAAACAGTTAGGCTGTCCAGTTCTTTGGGTTCTTTAACCATGTTGGCTCACTCACAGGATGATCACACCCCAAATTAATTCTCACACATTTATTGAATCACATTTGTTTATTAAGTTACTATGCATTATACTAACACTCAGCATAAAAGTTAACTGGGTGCATTTATATTTAACCACAGGGCATCTTATTTGTTAGTCACACATGTCAGCAAAATGTCATAATTTGTATTGTAACAAAGTCTTGTGTCTCCATGTAAACTCAAATATTAACTTGTTCCCAGCTTATGAGATGTGCACTGTGCTATGTTTGTTGATAAACACTGATATTCCAATGACAGGAAAAACCTATAAACTTATAATATAATATCTGATTGCTTAGCTGATATTTGACCAATAAATGAGAATCGTATCATTTAATGGTTGTCTTATCTGCTGAAAGAATTTGGTTGTTGTCCTCTACCCATATTGGACCATTTAATAACAAAACCACATGATTTTTTTTAAGTTACAACTGAATCGTTATGTACAGTAGGACTGTGCCACATATCATCTGTGACAATGCCAGTGTAATTTTTTTTTTTTTTAATTTTAAAAACACAAAAAAGGTCATATCGCAATATCACTGGTATAGCATGCACTCGCCATGCACTCCCTAGCGCACACAATGACAAGGCAAGCCTGGGCATGTCTAAGGGAGCCACAAGAGCAAAGGCTGAGTGTCAGCCTCCTAAAACAATTAACAACTTCAGTAAAGGACGACTTCAACAACCTTTGCGAAATACGCAAGAAGACTGCTCCTGCTAAAGGTGAAAACAGCAAATTTGTTTTGCCATCAAATACAAATGGGCTAGAAAAGAGGAGATGTTGGCAGCTGGCGATGTTCAACCCAAATGTAAACAAACAACTCTACCACGCGTTGCTGGAGCACTCGCTAGCTACACTCCATATAACAGGAAGAGCTAACGGTGAATGGAAATTACCGACATGGTTATGTGGTGGAAAAGCAGCACTTTACGCAAATGACTAAAACACTTGATCCAAGATACAAAATCCCAGTCAGAAAATACTTTTCAGTTTAAGTGAGAATATAATGGAGCTTTACTTTACTGTTAAACTAAAGTGTTCAACAGTTATTTTGTGCTTTTCCTTAAAATTTAGAGGGAATACACTACTTTGGGTCACTACTATTGCACTCTATGACCCCTTTTCCATTAGTATCTACTCTGATCGACTCGCCACGGTTTTCAAGTGGGTCATAGTACCTGGTACTAAAATAGTACCTGCTTGACTGGGGTTCCAAAGCGATCTCAGCAGGTACTAAAATGTGACGTCCTCCATGCCACCGACTGGCTGATGCAGTGGCGTCACGAAAATCAAAACTGACATTTTTGAAACCCAGCAACAAGGGAAATGGCTACAAAAAACAATGCTGTGGTCTCAGAGTATGACAAAAAGCCGCAGACTGAGCTGTGGGTATATTATCGCTTCGATGTCCACCTTTGTAGCATTCGTGTCGCATACCAGTTACGTCAAAGAACACGCGACCACGCTGCTTTAACGAAGACCACGCAAATTGAGTGGTACTCAACTGTAATGGAAAATCAGTCGATCAGAGGCGAGTAATGGCTGCTGCTGCTGGGACCTTCCAGTAGATTCACACTTTAAATTAACAAGTGATTTATCAATGACAGCAGCGAAAGGATGGAAAATGCACTTCATGGTGCCTGCAAGCATCAATGCCCACCCGATATCATCAGAAATGTAAACACATTTTCTTGAAATACTTGTGATATAATTACGACAGTATATCACATTCCCCCAATGTACATTATTTGTAACACAGTAGCGCCTTATTTTATTTATCTGGGGCATTACTTCGACACAACTTCACTTGCATGACTGATCTTTTTTTTTTTTTTTTTTTTTTTTAGTTAAATCTCTGCGACCTGACACATCACTCTAATGAGGCAAATAGACCCAAGCTACAGGAGCAAAATGCCGCATGCTGCCTACCAGAGCCACTCACCCTAGATATGGAGGTTTAGGGTTTGTTTTTTTTCTTGTGAGTTTTTGAACTGTTATCTGTATTACTTAAGTAATATCACATTATATTGCATAGATATTCTTCCTAACCATGCCATTGCTTGTAATTCACTAATAATATTTTATATATTTTTTTCCCTACTACATGCTACATTGTTAGGACAAAAGGAAAAATAAAGTAACAAAGAGGAATTCCACAAAAGACACTATAATGTAGACAAACATCTCTTTATGAATATTCCAGCTGTAAAACATAACACTTAAAGAACTGCACTGTGAGGTGGAAATATGAAACTGCTTTTCAGCAATTTCTACAAAACACTTTTCCCCAAGACTGCAGTTTGTTCCAACAATTCATCTCTGTAAATTTGGCTCAAATTTAATTTTAAGACAAAGGCATCCTGACTCTTTGCAAGACGTTGAGCTGAGATGTTAGCAAAAAGTACGCCAAAATTAATTTTAAAAACAAAATAAAAATGCATACAGTGCAGTTAAAAATTCAGGTTTGTTTGCATACGTCTGCACTCCTCTGGTACGCAGCAAGGACAGATGTGCCCTGCCGTACCACCACAGGACACAAAGGCCATTTATCTGCCAGAGATGACAGCTTGCGTGTGGGTGTATACATACCACACACACTGCTTCAGAAATCACAGTTTAAGCAGTAAGGATGTGAAAATGGTAGTTGCACCTTGCTCGCACTTTAACAGTGGTGGTGAACCATGTAACATAGAAAATGACTATATTCCTTTGGGACAGTGCAGTCACATCTCAACATCACTAAGATGGATGTGTCTCCTTGTTTCCCCAACTAGAGACACATGGCTACCTTTGTCCCAGAAGACATGGACAGCATCATGAATCGAATACTATGTAATGATGCACTGCTTGCTTAAGCAACGGGGGTGGTGGCTGGGTGGGGTGGGGGGGGGGGTTTAGGGTTAGACCACGCAAATTGAGTGGTACTCAACTGTAATGGTTCTACATGCACATGTGATGTGTATACACTTGAGGCTAACTGGTAGTAATTTATATTCACTGTTGTATCAAACCCCATTATTCATGCTTAGTCTTAAGCAACACACTTCACCTGCACTATCCACAACCATTTCTATAGCATATGACTCAGAGGAGCATCAAGCAAATACCAGGTGTTACTGAGCAGGTAGGATCTGAGCTGCATCACCTCTTCACTACCACCGAGGCCTGGAAAAAGTCCATCTATACCAGTGACAGTCAAAAGGGCTGAAAGGCAGAAAATAAACACTAATAAATCAAATTAGGATTGTAATAAGATGCATCCAAGAGCTTCACTTATAACACAATATGACAGACTATCTGAAGAGTCGGATTATGCTGGATATTAGTGTGTGGAATGAGCAATTGCAATTAACTGCCCCCCCCCCAAAAAAAAAATAAATAAAAATCTTTGATCAATTAACCATTGGCACTTAGTGCACATTTCATGTTCCCACAGCTCCATGTATCACTTACGTAAAATCAACTGAAACTAACAATACAGTCCTACAAACAGGTCTGACTTGCCAGTCAGCAAAACCATTGGGAGATGGCTGAAGGAAACCAGTACCACAAGTCCCATTACCTGGGACTGCATAACCAAGACTATCAGTTAATAATAATAATAATAATAATAATAATAATAATAATAATAATAATAATTTGCATTTGCATAGCACTTTTCGGGACCCCTCAAAGCGCTTTACAATACCACTATTCATTCACTCTCACATTCACACAGTTCTGCATCCATGTCCAAAATGATTGATCAAAATGCTGCAAGTATGCCGACCACTGTTACT